ACATAATGGGAATCAGAATCTACCAATGAAAGTAACACTACAAATACCACTAATATGATAAACAGGCGGGCCCGGAGAGCTTATTAAAGCCCCTGGGAGAGGACCCCAATGGCCACGAGCCATAAAAAGGTTGGGAACCACTGCTCTATTAGATTTATTTTGCAAGAAAATCTTAATCTTATCTGCCAAGTATTTGAGTGAACTGATTTTTTCAGGTGTCTATTCTGGCCTCAAAACCACACATTCCGAAAAAAATATCCTAAATTACTTTCAAAATCAGGACTTTATTTCAAAACTTTTTGATGTATAAGAATTTATAGGTTACAAAATTAATTTTTTTTAAAAAACCCAAAACCATTTCACTACATAGGAATACTGTTAGCATATTTTAAATTTGTGCCCAGATAATTTGTTTGGTCGTGACTTGCTTTTGAATTTTGTGTCAAACAGTAGATGACACTAACCTTAGCCACTGTGGCCTTTTTTTTATCAAATTTATGCAAATTAGCAAGATCGATTAAAGCTTGAAATGAAATAAGGAGAGAAAGTTCAATTCCAATCTACAAAATTTAGAGAAAAACATTTGAAGCAAAAAATAATTTTTCAACGAATGACACCAGATTTACACTAACCATGACCTTGTTGTGACCTTGATTTTAGCAGGCTTAAAATAAAGCCTTTAGCAAGTTTAATTGAGTTTGTCTTTGTCTGTATGAAAGTTATAATATTTAATTGGGTTTTCCAGACGTTAATGACGTTATGATTGTCTGGAACGTTTAATTAACGATTCAAAAATTGGAACTTGAAGCTATAGATAATTTGTTATCGTTTCTGCATTATTTTTGCAAATTTGCCAAAAAACTATTTTTATGGTTGATTAGTAGCGTGTTGTCTCTTTCCCCTCCGCCATTGCCTCAGTGTCACATTTTCCAATCGAAGAGGATTACCTCCCCAGAAAGTAATTTTGTGTTTGTTCTAGGCAGGGAGACATATCTATGAGAGGGGGGGTTGAAGGTCATGAACCCCCTTTTAGAAATGTGCTAGGGGAGAAATCTTGCTATCTATTTACTGCAATATTATTAATATTCTTCTGCACTTTTAGTCACTCATATTTCTGTACAGTTTGGGTAGTTTACAATACGTTTCATAAATAAGTATTATAGTAATACCTGTATTACTAAAGATTATAAGTGATACTACACCAAATATAAAGCAAAATTCGTCCCCATGACAATAATTTCTCCCTGGTTAGAAAACATGGAATTAGTGGATCGACATACACAAACTGTAAAAACATTATTCGACTTAAGGTTTACTCTGAAGAAAGCTTCTAACCTTTTATGGCAAATGGTATCTTCCCAGGGGGTTTAGCACTCGTGGTCCCGTTTTGTGCCTTGCATTGTGGCAGAACATTGAAATGTAGCCAGAAAAAAAGATTTTCTGTAACAAGCTTAAATTATGACACACTACGTCAAACACCATGCTGCGGTCAAACGGTTAATTTCACCCGGAAACAGTTAGAATGTTTTCTTAAAATTCCCAGCCCTACTAATCACACAAAATACTTACTTTTGTCAGTGTTGCCAGATTTATCTCCAATGTTGTAAGAGTATATCGATTTATAAAATAATATCTTGATAAAAATTGAAGAATAATATCAGTAAACTACCGTATGTGTTACAAATAACTTCCTCTACACAGAAATAGCGGCGAGAATGAATCCTTTACTCATCCTGGGGATATTTAATAACCACAAACCACAGCCGTTTAAATTGGTTAAACGTTTTACCATAACTAATCATGATCTAGACCAGCGTTTCTCAAACTGTGTTCTGCGGAACACTGATGTTCGTGAGATTCTTCGGAGTGATCTGCAGAACGGGGATCGAAATTGCGATTAAATTGGTCGCCATGACGATAATTCAGCGACTTCGGGCATAACTAAGTGTACTAATTGACGACAAACATGACTTGCTATTTAAATAGGCAAACGGGCCTTGTGCCAGTTTTTGAACCACCTACCAAATTTACCTTCTAATTACTTTGTGTTCCGTGAGGCGAGATAAAAAAGCGTTCTAAGCAAAAAAATTTGAGAAACGCTGCTCTATACTTTTAACTAAGACTTTTCTAAGCAATGACAAACTGTCTGTGCTTGTAATTCCATATCTAAACCTCAACAATGACCACAAAACTTGGATAAACGATTGACTATCCATTCCCAGCGACACTATTAGACATATTCTACCTGTAAAGTTGTAGTCTAAAGTCTGACAGTCATGGGATTTCCTCTGTCTTGTGACAAACCTTGGTTTCTTGTTGTTGTGTTATGTCTAACGCTGACTCATGCATCATGCAGAAAAATGAAGTTAATAATTAACGCTTAGCAAGCAAAAACGTGCCAAAAGGCATTGTTATTCAAACATTAGTGTGAGAACTAGTAAGGTAGTATGTAGTTAGAAGAAAAATGGGTACTCACGTAGTATGTGTACCAGGTTAGGGTTAGGCCATAATTGTATTTAGAGTTTCCTTATTTTAGTTCTTTTATGAGTTCGGGGACTGTATGTGTTAGCCGAGTGAATATTCCTCCTGCCCATGGGATTCAGTCCCTTTACACAACTTGATGTAAAGTAGGCAAACAAAATTGGTTACCTCCATATTGGTACACATACTTCTGGAGCACCGAAAAAAGTACTAAAATGTTCATCATAGCTGGTAGTTGAGGTTAAGAATTAGGGTTGAATTTTGTTGGGATTTTTTAGATTTGCGAAGATGAAATTTTCACTGGTTAGAATTTCTGTTAAAAAGGTTTTTGATGGGTAGAATTTGCCGAGCCTGCTTTTGGCTTGGTTCCGAATAGGTTCAAGATCAAAATGGAACCCAGCGGTTCCTAACTATGGGCCCAATTTTCATGTCTATTTAATCAACCCAGAAATGTTCAGCTTGTGATGTCAGCATAGTAATATACAATATTCTTGACAACTGGCCTCTTCCTCATTTACCGTATCGAAAATCACAACAATATTTTACTATAAATTTAATAGTATTCACAAAGGTTGTCCTAAATAACCAACCCATCATGTCAGCACTAAATGGCATTATATAGTCTCATTAGTAACCAGCCAGAATAATTTAACATAAAAAATATATTACTAATTCTGCCAATTCACACTCCCAATATTCGAAGGTAAAGTAACCAAGTTCTAACAAACTTAAGCCCTAATACACCCCACAAACAAATTCAGGATCAATAATGCACCAATTTTTCTATCAATATCTAATTTTCAGATCAATTTTATTTAGTTGATATTTTACTAAATTACGGTTTTGCATTTGATTGATGAGTTCATTAAAAATGAATTAATTAAATATCTTTACCAACGTTACTGTTATGCAAGTTCAGTTAAGGATAGGTCCTTAGCAGGGATGACCAAAACTGAATATTTTACTGTATTGAATACATTCTTAGAAAATATTTTTGTATAGCAAATAAATTCTGAATTGGGAGTACGTTCATGTGTGAAATTGCTTGGATAACTATATCTTCAAGTTGATCTGAAACTACACAAATATATCAAACTTCATAGTTTTCTGTGTTGTTTCTTACTGACCGCTCAAAATCTCTAATTTTTCACCAAAGATATTCTAAATTATTCTCAATTCAAAATTTCACCACATCGTTTATAATGAATGTGGATTGTATTCAAATATAAGATTCAACATGACCATCCCTGGTCGCGAATCTAGAAATGTTGCGCTTCCTTTTAGCTTGTTGCAGAGCGCCTTTTTTCTGGTATGGAGGCCCAGACTGTCTCATAAATCAGGGGTTTGCAATCACTGTTACAATTGATGCCTTTCAAAGTGGGGGCTATTCTTATAATCTTGAGAAATATGCTGTACTGGAAGAGTGGTGAACACATGGCTTTTGAGAATTAGGTAAATGCTGTCAGTGAAGAGCCAGAGCAGTAGCGATGCCCTTGGCTTTATCACTATTCACATAGACAGGTACGGGCAGTATAATATTTCTATTGCATCAATGGTTGTACAGTATCACAGTACAAACATGTTTTGGTGTTTTGACAGACAGATTTTATTTGTATGAATAATATTTAGATTCTCGTATTTATCCTGGGGAGAGGAAAGGCAATTAGACGACTCAACCACTGTGAAACATGGCTACAGGAAATTAATTGAGCTCAGTGTTTACTATGAACACTTCGGGTCTAGCAATATGTAGTAAGTAAAGTAAAAGCAATATGTAACTGCTTAAATAACGTCAAACTAAAATGGGATATGAAATTTTGATGTATTTTTAAAAAAAATTATACATGACGCAGAACTGCAGAAAGAAATTCTTGAAACACACATTTAGTACAATTAAACCTACTCAATGTTCAACTACGCAGGTATGTCTCATGCCAAATAAGATAACATACCGGTAATTGTGCACGCACAAGACGGACTTTTATCTTTAAAAAATGAAAATTTGAGTTGTATTTTCACATAACGATTTTGATTGGCGGTATTTAAGCATTTACGGTGTGTACTACCTCAGACCCAGCATATTTATAGGCTGAATATAAAAATTTTAGGTCTCGTGAAGCAAACGACGTAACTGCTTAAATACTCACAAACTCAAATATAGTGTGAAAATGAATGCTTAAGTGCTTAAATACCGCCAAACAAAAAATGATGTGAAAATTCAACCAAATTTTCATTTTTTTTCAAAAAACTAAAGTCAATCTTGCACGAGGACAAATGGGAGACGGACAGGCAATACCGGTACGGGTGTAATTTCAATTTTTACATTAATATTTCACATCACATTTATTTGAGCGGTTACGGCAGTACGGCGATCATTTCACATCACAATTTCGTTAGGCGTTATTTAAGCAGTTACGGTGTTTAATTCACTAGACTCAGAATGTTATTTCAGTATTTACAACAACACTAGACAAACCATGCAAAATATTATATTAGTAGAAAAATTGGTAAAAACTTACCCAAACAGTGCAGTCAGAAGGTTAGTAAAGTAGAATTCACACTTCAAATGCACAAACGTTATGAATCTTCTAGAAACTAGTTAATTTGCAAAGGCAAACAACGTCCTCGACCTAATTTTTTGCGAAAATCGGGAACAGTAGAACAAGAAAACACACAGACGATCAAGTCAACAAAACATTGGAAGTGCATTCATGCGTAAAGCCACGCCCACCAGGTCGCGTTCATCGTTTTTATGGCTTTTATAGCTATGGTCTCTTCTCGATGCATTTTCATCTTTTATATGTAAAAATATCTGGCACACACACAACGAAACAAAAAACGCTGGATTTGCACTGCTATATCAATATTTACCCGGGCGATTGAACAGATTGTTTTGCCTGTTTTGGGGGGACGGGCACGTACTTGTACGTATTTAACTTTTTTATTAAGTTATGCCCGTCCTCCAGGTCCTCTTTATTTTGTTTGTCACTTTGTTGTTGTTTGTATCAGAGTGACCGAATAAAATTGATTGATTGAAACGTTCTAGCTATAAATTCACTGAAACTGTGGTATTTCGTTTCTTCAGCTATTGTACATTTGTACTTTTTTCTGTTTTTGATGGAACCCAAGCTTTATAGCAGTCTTTTTAACCTTTTTAGTGGAGCGAAAGCACAATATAATATCCGGAGCCTCAGGAACCTTTGTGCAATTGATCATAAGCATATGCGATGGATTTTCCGCGACTCATTTTCTTATTACTGCAACTAAAACAAAGCTAATGGGAAGACATAATGACAATTAGATTACTTCATTTACAATTATTTTTGGAAACACAACTGAAATCTGACAAATAATTCGCAGAACCTCGAAAACGTGGCAATGTTTACAACCATGGTCGAATATCTGTCCGAGGCCTGAGCGGATAATGGGGAATATCCATCAAGGTTATATTCTTGTCACAGCCATGTCACATTTTTGTGTAAATTTCTATATACCATTAGAGCCATCCTCATAAATGTACATAAGCTACAAATGAACAATTTATTCCAATAAAATGAAACAAAAATTTATACAAAATCAAACTTAAGTACGTTGTTTAATAATTGAAACATTAAATACGATAAATCAAAAACACTAAAAAATTGTAGCCACAGAAATCTGGAGCAGGGACAAGAAAAATAGATTTTTAATAAGGAAATAATAATCCGCTAATTGCTGACTATGTTGATTGGCTTTGGTGTGACTGTAATGGCAGTAGCCATTAGGGCCAGCCTTATGCCACTGCAAATAATGAGCCAGTGTTGGCCCTGCACTTTTATAAAGATCGTGCTAACTTTAATTTGAAAACAATTTTTAAATCTTGTTATAAATTACCGGTATGTATTATTTTTATATTTTAGTTGCCCTTGCGCTACATGCAAGACATCTGAAGTTATTTTAATTATGAGTTTGTGCTTAACAAAAAGGTGATAAAGTTTTAAGATGAATTCATTTCTATTACAAAAGTCAATTTTCAGTTGCTATTCTAATCTCTACAGAATCAATTTCACATACAGCCATGCAATAGTTTGGGCCAATCCCAAACTCCGTCAATATATTAGCAGTGTTTACTAATTTAACACTTAGGGACACAAAAGAAAGAAACATTCAAAATTTGAGTTTAGTTAAAAATTTGAATTAAAAAGAAGGAACAAAATTTTGAATGGTACAAATTGGGTTATTATATTTGAATGCTCAATAGATGGAAATTATCCGCAAAAGTGATAACTGTGCGATAGTGGACATGACCATTGTTTAAAAAGTAAATTTCAATCCAACTGGATCTGTTTTTGAAAACTCATTTTCTTTGGTTCCAATTTCGCTTATAGACCATTCGAAACTAGATGTAAAGCATAAATATTTTAGAATGCTGACACAGGGAACTGATTTGAAATATAAAAACATTACTGAGCGGAAACTTCGAATGATAAAGCAATCAGAAATATATGGAATACAAATACTGTTATTAAATATATCAACCATTCTGGCAATTCCCACCAGAAAATATTTTCGGCTTTGCACAAAAGTATTCCACAAACTGATTAAAAGTCCACAAGTTTTGAGTTTAGATGTTGCGAATGCTCAGATCATTGTCTAAACAACAATTTGCAATTTGTCAAGACTAGAGTCAAATGTATGCGCATATGAAAACTAGAAATTCCAAAAAAAGGAGAGATTTTCACCTCTGGTTCATACTTAGTGGCTGATTGAATGTTATAAGTAGCGAATGCGCAATGACAGCAAAAAAGGCACAAATATATCAAAACAGTCTATATAGATTTTTATACCAATTCAAACATTCTTAATTTCCAGGAGTTCTGAGTTTAAATGTTGGGCAGGCTCGTATTCTTGACCCAACAGCTATCGCAATTTGTTAAAAACTTCGTCGTCTAAATGAAATGAATGACTAGAACTTGTCATCAACTAAACACCGGTGTGACTTAACTCCTAGAACAACTAAATTTCAGACCTGGATGACCCATGACTCGGCTAAAACATGAAAACATTACAGAGCAGAAAATCCAACAATAATACAATAAGAGATACATAGCATATACATAATGCGGTACTTCCGTAGTTCGTGTACCAGGTCAGGGTTAGGCCATGATTTTATACAATTTTCCTTATTTTAGTTCTATTACGATTTCGGGGACTGTCTGTGTTAGCCCCTGCCCATAGGTTTCAGTCCCTTTACGCAACTTGATGTAAAGTAAGCGAACAAAATTAGTTACCTCCATATTGGTACACAGACTTCTGGAGTGCCCAAAATGTCATTAAATCAGTTTATATCTATCTATCTATCAGTTTTGATAAACTAATCAATCTACTTGAGTAGATTGAGATTCAGACTCGGTTCAGTGGAATCTATCTAACATTGATTTAAAAGACACACGTATGACAACAACAGACAGACTTTAACAGCAATAATTCACCAAGCATAAGTATTTAATTGAGATCTACTCTTGTGAACAGTCATTAAATTTAGCAAAGTAGGCTTGGACAAGCAAAACGCTCTCGTTAATTAATACTACCACTTAGCTAATTAATTGATTAATCAATACTCTATTTGGAAATGATCTCTATGTTACTTCCAGACAGGTTTAAAATGATGTTCTATTCTGAATTTAATTCCAATATGGAAGATCGAATACTTTCAAGATTTGGGCAATGTTTAACAAGAGAAGTCAATTTATATTGGGTGTCCATATAAAGTATTAAAAGTGGTTAAAATTACAAAATAAATTCATCGAATCATTTAATGTTTTGGCCTTCACAGATGTATTAAATGAGGCAAAAATACTTGAACAATTACTGATTAAAAAACATCAAACCTGGTTGAGATATATTGATAACTGACTTCATAACAAAATTGGAATTGTAAAGGGACTTTATGGACACCCTGTTTATTGGAATATGGAAAAGCAAATGAACCATCGTTTGAATGCTTTTCTACTTTTTTACAGTTTTCGATAATTAAACGCTGCATATTTGGTCACACTGTCAAATGACCTAAATCAATATGTTTCAAATAAAACTGTTCTCAATAATCCCTGGAATACAAAATTTCGAAAACGGAATAAAATGTAAATCTGAAGAGATAAAAATATTCAATTTCTTTCAACCTTATTTCAGCTAATCACCCCAGTTACAATTCTATAAACTAAAATTTCAACCACACAAAAATACAACGCTCCCATTTCCAGTGTTCCTATTGTCTAAACACATTCCATTATATCCGGGTGGGTTTTTTCAATGGATTCTAATGTCAATTTGATCAATTCTTTAACTTTTTTGTCGAGATCGGGATTTGTCAACACCTCGCCAAGACATTGAATACCTTCTTCGGCCACTAACATTTCTTGATATTTTTCTCCTGCAAAAATTTAAAATAAAATTGGAATTTTACATTTTTTAAGAAAATTTGGATTACCATATTTATCCTGGAGGAAAGGAAAGTCGATAAAACAACTCAATCAAATGGGCTGGGCTGGGCATTTTCAAATACCTGCACGAGTCGAATATTTTTTCGCATGGAATCTCGAATAATTGGGAGATATATAATTATACGTAACATTCCTATTGATTGGGTCCTCCAGACACATAAATTACTAAATACATAGAATCTATCACCCAGACAGAAAGCTGACTGTTCACACACAATAAAAAACATATTTGCACCAATAACTCACATATCTGAGTCATGTCAGAATTGCGGTAAAAAAATCTGGCTTCAATAAAAAAAATTGAAAAATTCACCCCGACCATTAGCGCATTAAACAAGATGGCAACGATTCAAAATTTTGCTTTGAACCGATTTGAATAATTTACTATTCTATTCGAAATGCCCAGCTCTAACCACGACCTCGTCCGGTTACGTGTCCTAGTCAGGCATGGGGTTAATTAGCAAGTCATTTGTTTAAGATCAGTGGTTCTCACACTTTTTAAACCCCAAAAATAACTAGCCAACAATAAGCTACGCATAACAGATAGTAAATCGATGTTAAGTATGTTTAATTCGAGGAACTTAAAAATACATGGATGGAACGTAAATATTGAGATAAATAAAAAGTTTTGAAATGTAAATATCCAAAATAAGGCAGGCAAAACCAAATCCAACAAAAATTTTTATTTTTAATTAGCTTCACTCCCCCTAATAAAATTGTCTCGGCCTACATTGTGGGGCGTACCCTACTGTTTAGGAATCATTGTTGTATAGACTTATAGCGAAAAGAGCCGTTACTGAACACCAGTTACATGAACCATCCTACGGTGGTGAGGAGTCCAGGAATCCTTACGCACATAAACACAGGATTCGAACCTGTGAATTCATGCAGGGTAATAAAAGGTGCGAAGGCACCTAACACAACGTGCCATACGCCGAGCTCAAAGTAAGGTCACTTGCACACATTCATAAACAAAGAAGACTGATTTCTGAGCAAAGTCACAGAGCAATTTTTAAGGTGGACCAACATTTCGTGTGAATTTGAGTGTGTATGTTACAAGTTTGCTCAAGAACAGTTCAGAACCATACACAGAAAGTAGTTGCAAGAAATCCCTGACACCAACATTCATAATTCATTTCAACAGTTGTTCCCAACCTCTTAAGGATTTTGGTCCCCTTACGAAGGCTTTCAAGCACTCATGCCATTTTTAAATACCATTAGGTTCAAACAATTCACACAAAAAAAAAGTGGAAACACCCTAAGAAACCGTATCAAGCAATGAAACTAGGAAGAACAGGGAGTTTCGCGCTCAGCATTATGGCCCCCCCACTGGATGCTCTGTGGCCCCCTTGGTGGCCCACAGGCCCCTGGTTAGGAGCAGCTCTAATACAATGGAGTTACTCCCCTATATGAGTAAAATTTTGTGAAAACACTGAGTGTGAGTAGAAAATAAAACACTCACCGTTTTTAAGACAGACGTGACGTATCGCCCAAGCCGCCCACAGTTGCATAGCAGGAGTGTCGTGTCTTCTCAGCAACGGAAAGAAGGGTTTGAACGTTCTATATGCAACCATTTCTCCATCGGGAGGTTTCCATGACAACACACAGTTGTACTAAAAGTATGAATCGTGTTATGCTTTCTGTCAAACTTCCAAGGTCAAGGCCAGCTAGTCTACTCATCAATTAAACGATCACATTCATGGCAAACCAGTGGCTTTTACCTTAAGATTTCTCCCCTAACTACATGAATGCTTAAGTCAGAATCTACAACATGCTAAAAGTAATATTAACTGGAGCCAAATGGGATTAAAGCTATTAATATGTTGCCCAAACTGAATAGTACTGGGGCTCCACATGAGGCCTTTAACTCAATTTTACTGGCTCTCAACTTACCAGGTCAGTCAGTAATTCCCCCCTCAGTTTTTCTACATTTGTTAACGCAATCCAATCTTCCGCTCCAAGTATCGCTAGATGAGAGATGATGCCGGCAGCAAAGTAGCTCACCTAAACGAAATTTGGACAGTTTGAGAGGATTATGAGTGTTAAATTGACAAATACCAAAATTGGATAGTTTGCGGGAGTTATGAGTGCAGCAAGGTATGTATGTGAATTGACACTCATGGCAAAGTTTAAATATGCGCCTTCTTGATAGTTGGTTGACAATTTTTTTAATGATTATATTTGAAATGAGATCATTTTATGTTGATATGAAGTACGAGTTTCATTTGTTCCCAATTTTATATTAGTTTATTAAACATTTTTTCACAGTTTTTTTGCGCCCCTCTTCAATCGATGCCCATGGCACGAGCAATGGATGCCATATCCTCAATACACCACTGTACGAGTGTCAAAATTTGTGCGTACCAGCAGTTTCTAATTGGTCCGTCTTTATTCGCTCCACAATAAAAGACATTGTGATTGGTGAATTAGGAGGATGTGGAAGGGTAAAAAGGAAATATACAACTCAAAAAGACTCGACACTGTGAACAAAACGCGTGTATCAGATGAGAAAATTTGTTGACTGAATAAATAACACTAGCATTGCATCCAGTTTATCACATCTAACGAATGAAGACCTGAGATTCACCTCAATGTGTTTTGAATGCAGAAGTTTTTGAATCGATTCGATTAATTGTATGTCATGCTCCAGTAGATGGCAGCGTAGAGACGGTACCTCAGCAAGATTATTCTGCAAAACAAAAAGGCTGAGCTCTCAAGTTTGCTGGAAAAATCAGCAGATAATCGTGATCGACTAAAACCTTACTATATGCCATAGTGACTTCTTCCATTTTGGGAGAAATTTGTTATTGATCGGTCCACTATTAGCGGAGAAAAGCAATTTTTACAATGAAATTGTAGTCAAATTTCAAGTAAAATCAAATTTCTAATTCAAAATTAATTCAAAATATAACAGAAAATAAGATGAGCAAACCACAGACTGTCGCCCAATACCAGTTTGGATCAGACATGGGAATAGGTAAAATGCTTCAAATGTACACAAACTTTGATTAAGAGGGTAACAATGACAGCCAGCAGATAAGCCAAACACCCCTCGCCAGGGAAGTCCAGCAATCCTCTCAAACATAATTATCTCTCAGATGGTTTTGAATATACAAAATCAGAGGCGAGGCGGCTAGCATGTTCCTAACGGTTCCATTACATTTGAACCCACGTACATTTGAACCCATGACAATTGCACCTGTATGCTATTGCACCTATGGAATTTTTTTCGTTTCACGGATAGTTAAACCCATACTAACCCTAACCCATGGGTTTTAGTACCCGCATATAGATTGAACCCGTGGATATACGCATGGGTTCAAATGTACATGGGTTCAAATGTACAGTCACCGTTCCTAACACATCATCAAATTCTCTTAATTTTTTTTCATCTATTTAAACCACTTCGTATTTCTCCACTATGATTACCAATTTTAAGACTTTAAACCAGGGGTGGGCAAGGCTTTTAGACCAGTGGCCAAAAAATTTACCTACTTACACTGACGATCCATGTAAGTGTGACGTAAAAAGTTACATTTTATGAACAATATTTATAAAAACAAAAGTTGAAAATAATAGGCCTCGTGCCGAAACTAAATCGTATCACAATCTCAACAAATTCCTTGAGCTGTTTTTTAGCTCAAACATTAAAATATGGTTTTAGTTTGTGGCAGCATCAGGCGGGCCAGATTGATTTACCCAACAGGCTGGCCTGTGAGCCCCAGTTTGACCATGTCAGCTTCATACGGTAACAAGAGATTAAACGCCAAGTGTTAATAATGCTCGCCCAAATATGTTGAACTCAAAAGCTAGAACTCACCAGAAGTCCAAGAACTTTAGTTTGAAGACAAGGATTGTCATCATTCACCTAAGATAATGAAAAAAAGAGATTTGCTTAAAACGTGGTCATAGGCACTCACTCAGGAGTGAAGGAGACCCATCGTAAAATTATCTTAGACTGCTAAAATGGAAAAAGCTAATGAACCTGAATTGAATTAGGTGGTGCAATACATGCACTCATTCGAAAGTACTCGAAAAAAATTTAGACAAAAAGCTCATCATTGCCCACAAAATATTGTATATAAAAATAATCCAATCTACTGTATTTTGACTGTACATCTGCTTTTCGTGGATGAAGCATTGGAATCGCCTTCGCAAGTTGCAATTTCAAGCCCTCCACCTCACCCATAAAGTTTCCGATCAGCACAAATCATAACGGTTCTTAACAGACCTTTATGTACTGGGAAAGGTCTAATTTTAATTTACTTTTGAAAAATAAAACTAGGGCTTATTTTTTGGGGGATATCTTTATTTTCTATTTATCAAAAACAAAATTACAAAGTAGAGAATTAAGAGATTTTCAAATACACAAAATATGGAAACCGACATCGATTTACTTATAAATAACACGTTTATATTTAGGTTAGGTGAATAGGTACCGTAGGTGTTATTATCTTCAGACTAGGTGCTCTTCTCTGGAAAACACAGTAGCAGTGTAGCAGCAAGGCCTTGTACAAAGCCTTGTTCAGAGTAAAACGCACATAAAAAATCAATTGGGAACTCACACTTAAAATTTGTACAAAGAGACTAAGCCCGTCATTGTCAATAAAATTTTGGCAAGTTGACGGACTCTCGTCTGTGAGATTCCACAGAGCACTGAGTGTAAATTTCAACGTCAAATCAAGATGAGCAGCGTTAAGTTTCTTTTCCACAATTCGGAGTAAAACCTGTTAAACAAAAAGTAGTCTGATTACATAGTGGGTAATCACTAAAAAGGTTGAAAGAATTTCACTGAATGTCATATCAAGGTGTGCCCATGAATTATGAAATCATGACTGTGCTCTATTGATATCTTGGTACAATATAAATATAGCATTAATAATTTTAAAAAAATTATTGTATTTTGAAGTCTTCAAAGCAGTGGTCCCCCAACCGTGGGGCGCCCTCCACTAGGGGGCCGTAGACAATTTTTTTGAGGGGGGGGGTGAAGCTAATTAAAAATGAAAATATTTGCTATATTTGAACTTGCCCGGCTCATTTTAGATATTCGTATTTCTTTGTTGTTTAGTGATTGCGTAAAACATACTTTCGCCTTACTATGTGTTATTTGTAGCTTATTGTTATCTACGGTAGTTATTTTTGAGGTGGGGCGCAAGACTTGACAGATTATAAAAAGGAAGAACGGCTTAAAAAGTTTGAGAACCACTGCTTCCAGAAATCAGAGGCGTACTCAGGTTTTCATTAAGAGTCGAGTCAGGAATTAAAGTCAATATAGCAAAAAAATGTCAACAAACTATAACAAATGAACAAAGGTATACCAGTGATTTCAATTCTATAAGGTATCCATGAAGTCTTTTTAAAATTGCAAAGAAAATTTATGAATACCATATATTGTTTTGGCCTTCACAGATGTATTATTTGAAGTGAAAACACTTGAAAAATTACTGATTAAAAAAACAACAAACCTGGTTACGATATATTGAGAACTGACTTCATAACAAAATTGAAAATTGTGAAGGGACTTCATGGTATAATAATCCTAATCCTAATAATTCTAGTTTTCTCAAAATTACTGCTATGGAATTCTTAGAACTTCATTGAAAAGTTTTATTTTCCACATCCAATCCTACCTTCATGTATTTACTGCATCCCAGAATAGCCGTTTGTTCTGTAGATATTTTGGCGGCAAGAATCGAAATGATGGCGACAGACATCCGATGCATGGCACTGTCCTCATTGGTGCAGAGACATTGCATCACTAATTGGGCTGTTTTGAAGTAATCAAAAGTCTGAAAAAAGAAAATATATATATATATACAGAATCTAAAAAGTGATTTTAATGTGTTTTATATCTTCTCTGATCTGTGTATAAGTCACTACCAAAACAAAAGTAGTTTTTATGATATAGAGCAGGGGTGGGCCCAGTTTTTGGGCCAGGGGCCAAAGATTTTGCCCATCTAGACTGGTGGTTCATGTAAGTGTGACATAAAAAGTTACATTTTACGAAAAATATTTACAGTGTTGAAAAATCCAAAGTGAATACCAATGAGCCTCGTGCCAAAACTATATATAATTGCAAACTCAACAATTTCCTTGAGCTAGGTTTTAGTTGGGTTGTGACATCATCTAGCGGGCCAGATGGAATTAGTCAGTGGGCCGTAGATTGCCCATGTCCGATATAGAGCTATTGGACTTCCTCGGCTCAGCCTTCCTTGTCCTATTTCATATATCCCTGCGTAAGTTTTTGCCATAGAGGTCTGGCTGAAAGTATGATATTAAAGTCAGTGGCGTAGCCAGAAATATCCAAAAAGGGGGGATTGCGAAATTTATAATTGTCGAGTTAGACGGTAGCTAGCAGGTGCAGTCAGAGGCGGAAGGCATGGGTTACATTTTAAAATGGGGAATTACCACCCCAACCCCCTTGGCTACACCCCATCTGAGAACATCAAGTCAGTTCTTATCTTAAATCTTACCACTTCCTTCAATATCTTGTCGCTACACAGCGTCATCAAACAATTTTTCTGCAATTGTTGTCGATCTTGGAACCTTTCCATTGTTGCCAGAGTTTCCTTCACAACCTGGGTTAGATTTGAATAAAATTTATGATCTTTGGTTAAGAAAAATTTCTTTTTTATTTTACATCCTATTTTTATATCTTAGGGAGAGATGAGGCTCCTTTACATCTGAGTGAGTGCCCGTAACTTTGCTCAGAAATGAGTCTTCTTTACTTCCGAGTGAGTGCTCGTATCTTTGCTCAGAGATGAGTTTCCCTTACTTCTGACTGAGTGCCCGTAACTTTGCTCAGTGATGAGTTTCCTTTACCTCTGAGTGAGTGCCACAACTTTGCTCAGAGATAAGTCTCCTTAATTTCTGAGTAAGATCAAACTCTCCTAAAATATAATAAATAAACAACTTACCTCAGAAAGCATGTTAGCAGGTATAGTTGACCCTGTTTCCCTGTTAGTCAAATTATAAACGCAAGCTGTCGCAGCGAGTTGTACGGAATACGAAATATCAACATCCGCCCGATGATTTCGCATACAGAGCAAGACAAGCTAAACAAAATCAAACATGCATTAATTTTCTGCTCAAAACAATGCTCAAGGAATTGTGATCGAAGGATGTTCAGAAGAATCCGAAATCTAGAATTTTCTGCTCGTCTTGTTGCACACTTACAGTAAGAGGTACTCCCAAAGTATGTGAACCAAGATGGCAGACACCGGTACGTAGTATGTGTACCAGGTAAGAGTTAAAGGATTATGTGGTGGAATATAAATATTACCACAGGAAGATAAATATACCTTATTGGGTACTCCCGAAGTATGTGAACCAAGATGGCGGACACCGAAACGCAGTATGTGTACCAGGTTAGGGTTAGGCCATAACTTTATTCCAATTTTCATTATTTTAGTTATATTACGAGTTCGGACCGTCTGTGGTTAGCCAAGTGAATATATCCCCTTGCCCCATAGGTGTCAGTCCGATGGTTTCAGTTGATGTGAAGTAGGTGAACAAAATTAGTTACCTCCACATTAGTACAACATACTTCTGGAGTGCCCAAAATAAAAAATGACTATGACAGAAAAAAATGGCATTTCACAAGAGGGATGCCACATGAGGGAGATTAGTAAACAAACCTGAAACTGGTTATAGATCAGCCAAATTGAAAAACGAAATTCTCACCTCTAATTGTTCCTTGTTATATTGAGGTGCGAGTTGGGTTTGGTTAAACAGCGAGAACAAGCTTCCTTCGCAAAGTATGGCCGATCGATAATACTCTCGTCAATGACTCCATGATTTGTGCTTCCTGTGTGGTCACCGGTTACCTGAATTGCAAAAATGGGGAAATTTGAAAAAAGGTATTTTATCTTACGGAAATTTTCTCAAAGCTAGATTTCCTCGATCACTTAAAAGTAGAAGAGATCTCAGAGGGCACTCGCTCACAAGTAAAGAAGAATCATCTCTGAATAAAGTTTTGTGCAATCACTCAGAAGTAAAGAAGGCTTATTTACTAGTAAAATTACCGGCACTCACTCAGAAATATGAGACTCATTTTTGAGTGAAATTATGGGTACTCACTCAGAAGTAGAACAGACTCAATCTCTGACTAAAACTATTGGCACACACTCAGAGATAAAAAAAACTCATCTCTGAACAAAGTTTACGGGCGCCCACTCTGAAGTAGAGAGTTTTGTGTCATCACTTAGCAAAATTTGTTATTCCATTTTGGGATATCGTTGAAGAGACAGAGTAAGCAAAGCTGAAATCCAAACTATGACTCACTTCAGATGGAGTTTATGGTGATCAGTTCTTGGGATTCACGAAACAGGGAGCCGTCCGAACCAGTATGAGAAGTCCCCAGAAACGCTAGCTGAGGGTGGTTGAACGTAAAAATTTAAGATTCAACTTCTTCATTCCTTCCCTTGGAAAAGAGCATGATCATTTATATTTTGATTAGTATACATAAGTAAGCTTAGGAAGGGAGTAGCCACCAACTAAAATAACCAAGAAGTGTGTGTACCCAATATGAGGTAAACTAATTTTCTGGCCTACTTTACATCAAGTTGTGTAAAGGGACTGAAACCTATGGACAGGTGTGTATACTTCACTCGGCTAACAACAGACCCGAATTCGTGATAGAACTAAATAGCGGTAAAGCGGACTAAAATTTATGCTCTAACCTGGTAACAAATACACTACTGAAGTACCCTAATACTCTACCCTTCCAGAGATATCCAAAGATGTCAGCTTAGGCAGGGGGTAAGCCCACCGACCATTACCATAACTAACAGCCACGTTGATACTGCTGAGCGTACAAGGAGTTCGACACGCGACTTGCTCTCCCGTGGAAATTATCCAGGGTGTTGGAGTTCGGTCCATTTTACAGAAACGTCAAAAGGCTGAAAATTAATACAAAAGTAAGTTTTGAGTATATTTTTTTGCACATTTGTTTTATATGCCTCTCTGAATAGGCTCACACATAGTGATACCAAGTGATTGTAAATGACGGTCTGAAGAAGTCTGACCTTGGTCAGACGAAACGTTACAGAAATACATTTGTGTTAGTGTGCAGCAAGACTCTTGAACTGAATAGTCATTTTCACTCTTGCCACAGCATCCTTGCATTTTACGAATACGGATCCACGGATCCGCAAAGGCATAGATCAAGTAAGGGTAGTTAGATTCACGTAACTCCAACTGTTGATTACTCATGAGGGAAGCTACCATTTTAACCAAGCACCTAAATCATTTCGTTTTCGCATTGTCAATAATCGGTCGCCCTGGGTGAGGTGGAGTGCATTGAGTCTGAAATCTTTACCTCAATGCATTCAGGGCAAAGACTCAAATTTTTTTTTTAATTATTCAGTAATAGTTTTATTTATTGATAATTTTGAAGAAAAAAAAAGTTTACTAAATAATTTATTAGAAATTAGGGCGAAACCACTAAACCAATACGCCAGCTGCTGTAGTGACAAAAAAAATATAAAAAATCCGTAAGTCTGGCTTTATGACAGGGGCCCAGAGATGACTGAAACCAAATACATTCCTAAATAATGGTAACGAATATGAACAATTGATTATAATATATTATAAATTGTGTTCGCAACATAAATAATTGTATAGCACAGGAAATTAATTTGCAGAGAAGTTGGTATAATCACTTTGCGTCTTTGGAAAAAGTAATTCAAGTATCGCCAGTAATTTTCATGATACAACTTCATGTTCGGAAATGAGAAACTATTGATAAACTGATTCAGAATATATTCAATATTCTGAAATATTATTGATAATGTATTCGGAATAGTAGAATAATCAGTTTTTACCATCTCTATTCCCCACTTTCCATGGTATTGAGTCTGTCATTTTCTGTATTATTTTAGAAAAAATTTACAATAACGAATTTATTTGTTTTTTACCAGATCTGGTGGTCAGCACAGGTCGGCCCAGAAGTATGTGTACCAATATGGAGGTGACTAATTTTGTTCGTCTACATTTAATAAGGTTGTGTAATAGCTAATAGGACTGAAACCTATTGGCAGGAATGGCTAGCACAGTCTCTGAAGTCGTAACATAACTAAAATCAGGAAAATCAAAATAAAATGACCTAAACCTGACCTGGTACAAATACTACGAGAGTACCGGCAACTCAAGACATCTAAATTATAATATTCTATTCCTGGCTAGTACGAACCTTTCCTTGGGCATGTTGAGTTTGTCCAGATTGCTCATGTTCAGGAACCGTAATTTGGGAGCATGCATGTCACCGAGGTATAGAATAGAACGAACGTACGTCTTCGAGATGTCGAGACTTTGGAGATGTTTCATGCACTAAAATGATAGAGTAAAAGCTCGTTATTATTGCCCAGGCATAAGTAAGGAAATAGGGCATGTTTAAAAAATCTGGATACCATTTTATGTCTGTTATGGGATTAGTTAGCCAGTTATTTGTTTTCGGAAGCGTGGACTTGATAATGACTAGCCAGCAATTACTAAACCCCCCTATGGCAGCATCCGGGCAGGAGTCCGAAACAATCCACGCATGGGATTCGAACCTGTCAACCCACACAGGATAATCAGAGGTGAGATGGGAAATGTATACCTAACGCTTAGAATATTGCGCCACACCGCCGAGCTGAATACATGAAAAGATTGTACACAAAAAAATCTTTACTTACGGCAATCACAGTGTTAAGATCAGTATCTGTAAAATTTGTGTAACTGACGTTTAGATGTCGGATATTCGTGAGAACGCTCAACTTTTTAAATTGGCTGACCTGAAATAAAATTATATTCAACTCAATATTAATTCAAATGATGAATGAAACCTTATACCGAATAAGGTGTAATTTGAAGATGTTACTTAGAACGTAGATTCTCAAAGTGCTTCATCAGGAGCCCAAGAGCTCTGTAAGAGAAACCTAGGGGCTCCGCGAGTTATTCGTTTACTTATTAAAATACTGACTTGGCTAAATTTGTAGCTGTCCAAAGTAGTAATAACAACATTTTGAAAATTTGACAAGCAGCAAATAAATCCGAGTTGAATGAAATGATTTTCGATTTACTCAGGAACATCAATCCATAAGTGACAAATAATAGTCAACTATTTCATGGCTTCATAATACCAAGAGTTTGAGAACCCCTGACTTAAAAGTTACAACAGCGAGGCTATTTACTTTCCTACTATGTTTATGGAATATAATCTGACTCAGAGACAACCTTTGTCTAAAAACAGTAGGGGTTTGGCTTGACTTGTGACTCAACATGGAACTCAAACTTAGCAAAAGAAACACAGATGACCTAATAACAACACTGTCCTTCGTCTCAAACTGATACAAAAATAGAATAGGGGAGCGGCTCAAAATGTGCGAAAATTAGTAGAACTGTGTTGAACAAATTTTACATATTGTATTTTAAATGCTGTGTATATAAATCAATAAATTCATTTTATCATTTTATGTCGTTCACTTTCTATTAAGAAGTGTCTACCTCTATTGTTACTTCTAACAAAATTGAGTTTTATTTAGAAGCAGCCTTTTTTTCAGGTAGGTGCGGCATGAGTTTTTTCCATGATAATTTGGCGCCGCACAGACAAAAAGTTTGGGAACAGCTTGAATAATGATTTTTGTGTTTGTAAATGCTTGGGGAGAATTGATAAGGCCGCTAATTCATTATGTGAATAACAGCTTCTGATCTAAATTAATACCAGTCCAAATTGGCATAGCTTGCTAATTTTTTCGTTACATATGCATGGGCTTGAATGGCACATGTCGGCAAGTCAGATATCAGGAAAGTTTGGAGATCAAAGAAAAGCTTAAGAAAACTACTTACAGTAACATAAATAGCAAGAGGCATTAGGTCTTCCTTTTCAGATGGAATTCCAGACACGTTTAACGACATCAATTTTTCTTTTGTTGCGGAATTTAAGCCGGAGACAATATCGCCGACAGTTATTCGCACTCTATCGCCCTCGTGCTCGTACGGACTGTTTTCTCGAACTTGATTGATGTCCGCAGCGTTCAGTTCATGTAAGACGTGGTTATTTAAAAGTTGTTTTAATCCGTTAGCTTGAATATGTCCAGCCTTTTTGAGGTACATACGTTGTATTCGGAACTTTTCGTTGTCTGCAAAAAACACTGCCGCGGAGTCGTTCAAACGCCCCTTTTTACAGACAGATTTTAGTAGTTCCTCGGACATCGGATTTGGAATAAAAATTTCTGGTTCTTGACATGATGAAATTTTTTTCGTTCCGCATGGCGGGTCATGGCAACATTTCATTTCAAGGGACGCAATATTTTCCAACATTTTAAAATTTGTTTCGGTTTCAATTCCGCAAAAATCGCCTTTTTCTTGCGAATCTTCTGACGGTAAACATGGTGTTTCACACTCCATAGGCCCATCACTAGAGGAAGTAAGGGTATCTGTCATTACCGAACCACTAACACCGCGATCTGGAGATGGGGAGTTGCTCGGAGCAATTTTTGGGGGGTATTTCTGAATGTATACATCGATTTTGTCAGCAATAGCATTAATACAAGCCTGCTGTAAGGTAGGCTCTATCTCAAAGTCACCAGCCATATTGGAAATCTAGGAATAGAAAAAGATTCATTAATAACTGATCTGGAATGGTATTGGTAACAACTTTTTCTAACAACGTTCGGGTCTAGTATAGTTTAGTACCACAAGTACTTCCAGTGGGCGTAGCACAACGATTTTTGCATATGTCATTCCTAACCCTCACCTGACTATGCCATCCAAAAATTACGTCACTACGACGTCACCATCACGTCATAGGGATTGTCAAAGTATAATTACGATTGCCCGAAATGGCATCTGCGCCGCCGATAACGAACTTGCTAAAGATCGTTGCGACAGGAAAACGAGAGAAATAGCTTGCTCAATTTCGGGTGATCGTCTACGCGTTTTGGACACCCATCCGCATACTTCGGTGGGCCTTATTACGCCACTGAGACGTCGGAATGACGTAATTTTTCAGTGACGTAGTCAGGTGGGGGTTAGGATTGACATATGCAAAAATTGTTGAGCCAGGCCAACTAGAAGTGGATGTGGTACTAAACTATACCAGACCCCAACGTTCTTACTCAAGACGAAAGTATGTTTTAATCAAAAAACACGTTAAAAATATGTGGATGAAACGTGAATATCCAAAATAAAGCGGGCAAGATCAAATCAAATAAATTTTTTTTTTAATTAGCCTCACCTCCCCCAAAAATTGTCTACCTCCCCCTTGTGAGGCGAGCACCAACATTTGAGAACCACTGCTCTAACCATTCATAGGGAAGAACAGAGTAGCGTATAGGTTTTATCTCGGATGCAAAGAGCAAGTGTTGTTTTCTTTGCGTTGGGACTTTCATACTTTTAAGTTCGCCTACATTTTTGTTGTATTGTAGTACCGAAATATTTTCACTAACAAAATATTCAATCATATATCCAGTATATCACAGTATCACTTCGCCCATTTTAAATAAATGTATCTCCAAACTCAAGCCTGCTACACCAAAACATCTTAATTCCATAATAACAGTATTAAGTGTTTTCATGCCATCCCTCACAGAGCCAACAGATTCCGAGATCTGCAGATTACTTCTATCTGAATCTATAAATACAGATGCACAAGTTTTCAAACATTACTGGTACTGTAATAATAAACCGAGAATGAAGTTTGGCTATGCAACAAGCCATTACTAAATTACAAATACAAAAGTAATATATTTCTCCAGCGTAGGTACCTATTATAGTACGGTACGGTACTGTACATACTCTAGTAACGTACGTTCACTTCTGATCTTAAAGGTTTTTGACTGCAGTTTTGTAACTGCTGAACTCTCAAACTGGTTTAAACCTTACAAAAAGCAGTAAACAGATCGAATTCATATTTCCTGCCTTTTACTGTATATCACAAGTTCAGCAATTTAACAAAGACTTTCTAGAACTATGCACAAAGTCTAAAACTTCAAAACAACAGATCAAGACGTGATAAACATCAGTCAACGGAACAACGCCTCGTATCCGGAAAACAGCTGATGTTGTTTACGCGTTAGTTACGTCACAATTATAGCTTAGTTTTCAGTCAAGCATGATAGGATAGAATAAGATTTACATATTCATCCCGGGAGAGAGGAAAGCCGATAAGACGGCTTAATCATATGTCAAACCACGGCCTCTCGTCCGGTTACCAGTCCAGGCCGGGTATGGGATTAGTTAGCCAGTTATTTGTTTTCGGAAGCATGGACTTAATGGTGAAGGAAACCGTAACCGACCAGCGGTTACGTGAACCACCCTACGGCGGCGAGGAGTCCAGCAATCCTCTCGCACATAATAATCCCCGCATGGGATTCGAACCTGCGATCCCACAAAGGGTAATCAGAGATGCGGTGGCGAGCGTATTCCTAACGCTTAGTACGATGCGCCACACCGCCTAGCCCCAATCTTCCAGAATCAAAATTGGCAATTTTCATGTTTATCTTAGGGGGGGGGGGGAGTCAATAAGACGGCTTGAAGGGACTCGCGGTGTGATTGACGTAACCGCTGGGCGATAGTATGGCTTTCTCTACAGTTAAAATCATACATCTGAAACAAATACCTAACTATTCTCATACCAGACATGAACTGGTAACCGATGAGTAGAGTTACCATATTTTTGACCATAGCTGTGATTTTTTCAACTTCAAATTTACCGATTTTAGATTGGGGCTCACATTTAAAACCCAGCTGTCCTCATTGACCATTTTAACAGAGAGAGTTTATGCGCTGTCAATTATCCAACAATGTTAGCGGGAAAAAACGAAGCAAACAAAACCACGCATTCACCTACAGTAAGTAGGCTATCGGTAGCCTACACAGCACAACAGTATCGAGAACGTGCTAATTGGTAGGGATGGGACGAGTCCGGCATTACAGAGATTCGACGAATCCGAGTAATAGGTCAAGGACTCGAATCGAATCCTCCGAGTCCGTGACGTCACAATGTAAAAGTAGAAAAACACGTTTTTGACCATATTACAGCATCGCGCGCTCACAAACATATGTCGTAGCTCATATTTTTTGCCTAATGGTTCCGCAGATAGCTGTTGGATCAATTTAGAAATATATTTTTATTTTTTTTCGGCGACCATAATACAACCGTAAACGTGGGTCAATATGCACCTTGGCTGTAAACTGGATTTCCAGCCCACCACCTTGCGTCAATTCTGGGCGGCTATTCATAAATTCTTACATGTCAATTTGAAAAATAAAAAGCTTTTGACTACAATGCTTCCCCATAATTCCAGATATTTCTAGCCTTAAATTTACTGTGTGGCGTGCGCAAATGGTAGAGAGATGCCACTCGTCGTCAACACAATGATTGCAATTTAGTAGTTCATGTAAACGTTCTAAAACGCTCCATGCTTTCCATTGCTCCCTTTTTATAGAAAGGATTGCACGTAATAAACTCGATTTAAAAGAGGTATTTATGAGATTCCCCATTGAGTTGATCCAGAGCTTGCTTCATTTTTACGCGAATCGAAAACTCAAAATGTTGCGCTAACACATATTTTATTGTGTACCAAAAATGATAGATAGTTTGAAGGCAACTGGCGCAACATCATTGTTATAAGCGATCAATAGTTTTTAACATGCGTTATATTATCTGGATATCCGTTGTCGCTTTTATTAGAAGTGTTTATAGTATACGTGAGGGATATTGTTACAGAATAAACCTTGAATTTTAACTCGTTAAGATATGTAGTGAGATTTATAGAGGCAAAAGTACGAATATAGGCGTAAATTAGTAAAAACAGAATTGATTAAAGACTCGGTAAAAATGACGTGGACTCGGAATCGAATCCGAGTCCAAAAAATGCGTGGATTCGACTCGAATCCGATTCCGAATCCCGGCCCATCCCTACTAATTGGTAATGTTCGTGTACTATGCTGACTGGCTGAACGCCAAAGCGGGACGTTTCGGTGACCGGTCGGGACGCCGGGACAAGACGGTAAAAAGTGGGACCCTCCCCCCTAAAACGGGACGTATGGTAAGCCTACCGATGAGAAGCCTCAGTTCGCAATATGATGAAATCGTCTTCTAGGTTTTCCTTATTGTGATAAATACGAAAATCTTATCAAAATTTTCTAATGCATTTCCTAAACCCATTATATTTTATTATCCTAAGCTTACCAAATAAAGTGCATAGCAAAAAACACGTACTAAAATTAGATATATTTTAATCTAATATGTGAACCTATAAATCTTAACATATGAGAGGGTTAGAAATGATTTAAAAATTTGAATTTTTAGCGCAATCCGTATTCCCTGACTTGATAATTATGGAATTTTCTTTGGCTACTTGGATCTTTTATACAAAGTCTCCACCACCAATGTGCAATCTGAGAAAATCACCTCTGTCGCGTTTTAAAATAAATAATTAGTAATAAGACTAGAAAATGATGCGAAAACTTAAATTCCAAGCGCATTCTTTATTCCCAACTTAACCCTAAATGGATAATTACTATTTTTTAGTCTTTGGCGGGTCTTTGTAGAAAAGATTCGATTTTATCTCTGTGTGAGTGCGATGGATTCTTTATAACTTCAGTAGTCAAACTTTTCTGAATCGCGAAACAACATCCAAGCAATATAGAATCAGTTATTTAACATTTGTACGCCAGTTTTACACAGAATATCTAAATAATACAAAAGCATGGGATCGACAGCTGGAAAGCGTGGCGGTGCGTTTTTGCGATTATAATCTTCAGGTCCGTTATGAGTCTCATTTTTCGGTACACCTGTATAGTGTGTGTACCAAGTTAGGGTTAGGCCATAATTTTATTCCAATTTTCCTTATTTTAGTTCTATTATGAGTTCGGAGACTGTCTGTGTTAGCCAAGTAACTATACTACCTGCCTGTTTCAATCCCTTCACACAACTTGATGTAAAGTAGGCGAACAAAATTAGTTGCCTCCATATTGGTACACATATTTCTGGAGCGCCCATTTTTCTCAACCTTGGTTCTCGCCAAAATTTTTCATTTAAACCTTTTGGCCGCGGTTTTTATTATTATTAATATTTTTACTGGTGCTTATACGTAGGTGCTGGCGTAGTTTTGTGCACCAGTACTATGATATTATGCGTTGCGTGTTGAAATGCTTCTTCCCGTTACGAGGACGTATTCTATAACAAAAGATATAATTCTGGGATTTGTTAGCAAATTAATAATATTTACGGGGGATATATTCCGTTCTTTGCAATGATTAAATTAAAATGATCTTGGGTCGTCATAGCGGGGACAATATATCACTAAATGGGTGCTCCAGAAGTATGTGAATCAAGATGGCGGACACCGGAACATAGTATGTTCACCAGGTTAAGGTTAGGCCATAATTTAATTGTAATTTTTGTATTTCTATCACGAGTTCGGGGACTAGCCAAGTGACTTCCGCAGTATTTGTACCTGAAATTATGGCCTAACCCTAACCTGGTAGACATACTACGTTCCGATGTCCGCCATCTTGGTTTACATACGGGAGTGCCATTAAATGTTCGACGGTTTCCCTTTTCAAGCAAGTGTCGTGAAGTCGTTCGTGCAGCGCCTAATTACCAGCGAAAATCTCACGACGCACTCACACAAAAATAAATGTTTCCTCAGAATAACAATGAATTTTGTGATCGTTAATGTGTATTTCATGATTTTTAAAATTCATAAACTTGTAGACCTGAGGAATAAAATGGGTGCTTCCGAAGTATGTGCAACAAGATGTCGCACAACCTGAACAAAGTATGTGTACCAGGTTAGAGTTCGGGTTGAGAGCCATCTTGGTGCACTTCAGGAGCTCCATAAAATGTAATGTCAATACAACATAACGTCAATTACACGTAATTGCCTGGAAACATTCAAACTGCAGTGTTATGCTTGGAATGAATGCATGGGCACATTTGACTTTATACGCCCAAATGTGACCGTATTTTGTTCTGATTGACGTCACTGGCTAACCTAGCTTCGCAGATAATAGAGGTTGCAAATGATATAAGTACACAGTGAACTCTTTCAGACTTTCAAATTGAAATTTTAGGAAAGATGTTCACACACTTTCTGGTATTCCAAACGAGTGTTTGCCAAAGATTCAATCACTTCTGACTGAAAGTTTGTTTGTTAGATAAAATTTGATGTCAAGTCGACAAATTGTTCAGCTTCGTTTGTTGATAAACACTCGAGAATTTCTGGGACACGGGGTAATGGGTTGCGTATACCAGGGCGCAACAAGGCACACAAAGTACTATATCTATTG